TGTGGGTGTTAAATTCAGTGGGTTGCTTGTGAGGGTTGTGTGGATTGTATGGGTGTTAAGGTCAGTGGGTTGCTTGTGAGTGTTGCGTGGGTTGTATGGGTGTTAAGGTCAGTGGGTTGCTTGTGAGGGTTGTGTGGGTTGTATGGGTGTTAAGGTCAGTGGGTTGCTTGTGAGGGTTGTGTGGGTTGCATGGGTGTTAAGATCAGTGGGTTGCTTATGAGGATTGTATGGGTGTTAAGGTCAGTGGGTTGCTTGTGTGGGTTGTATGGGTGTTAAAGTCATTGGGTTGCTTGTTAGGGTTGTGTGGATTGTATAGGTGTTAAGGTCAGTGGGTTGCTTGTGATGGTTGTGTGGGTGTTAAGGTCAGTGGGTTGCTTGTGATGGTTGTGTGGGTGTTAAGGTCAGTGGTTTTTAGGGTTTTGATACTCTGTCCTATCCATTGCTTAATGTTTGATACCCATTCTCCTGTTCCTTATTATGTCTTCTCTGTTTAAATATAATACTGTCCTATAAGTCCTCAAAGTTCGGTACTACCATTCCGTGGTTTGTGCTGTACAGGTGTGGCTGCGCCAGAGAAAAGTGTGTGAGATGAAGAAGGGCGAATCAGCTTACAGCCAGGCACTGCCGGGAATCAACGGTACGTAGGCGAGTGTGAACTACGCTATCTTGATGTAGGAAAACGTTAATTCCAGCTATTGTACTGAACCATGTTATCTTGGTGTAGAAAAACGTTAATTCCAGCTGCTGTACTGAACCATGTTATCTTGATGTAGGAAGATGTAGTTGTGGCTATTTTATAACGTGTAGATTACACCGCATGTCTTGATATTTCGCGATAGTAGTGTAAAACCGGACTCTGCTTGAGAACGTTTACGTTTACGTAAATATTCTACAAGGAGATGTGTACCTTAAAACCCTATCAGTAAGTGTGTCACGTTTATCGGATGTTTCCGAGGGAACGAATCATCTATTATCGCCAGCTAGCAATCAAATAGACGTACATGTGTGCACGCAGGTCATCAACAGTTGCTATATCTCGAACACAAAAGGTCAACAATATGCGCTCAACGCGGTTCAATACTATTTCCACACACACACGCACTCGTACATACATGCTCCCATACAACGGCATACTCAAATGTACGCATTTTCGCACATAACGACATATCCACACACATATGTAAATATAAATATATATATATATATATTTATATATATATATGCACATACACACTCATATCCACACACACACCCATGCACATGCACACACCCTCGTATCCACACACCATCGTATCCACACACATACATGCATACACACACACACACCCTCATATCCACTCTCACATACACACATGCACATACAGGGTTTCTGCTGTCCATGGTGATGGTTCTTCTGCTGCAGAAGCGGAAGGTCAATGCGAAGATGAGCTGCTACCAGATGTTCAAGGTTGCATTGGACTACATTGCGCACTCTGACTGGGCCAGCACCGGTGCAACCCTCGCTGGGGCTCAGGAAGGTATGGCAGCAATACGTGCGTCTGTGACTGAAGTTGTATGTAGTGCGTGTGTGAGACTGTAGTTGTGTGTTGTGTATGTGTGGGACTGTAGCTGTGTGTTGTGTGTGTGAGACTGTAATTGTATAAAGTGCGTATGTGTGACTGTAGTTGTATGTAGTGCGTGTGTGTTAGGCGTGTGGGTAGGTTTACGTCGCATGTGTCGCTTCAGGGATAACTGCGTCTCGGCTGTCAGATTGCTGTGATGTTGTGTCGTATTTGTCGTATTTTATTTAGATGTCGAATAATATCTATGGTGTGATAGTCTTCCACATTGACATTTTAAAGAAGGCTCTCTGTATCCAGGTTTCGGGTTTAGGGTTTTGAGTCGTCCTTACCCTTGAGATATGTAGCGCTGTGATAGTCTCCCATGCCAACAGCTGTTATGACATCATATCCTTTCACTCCCATGCACTCTCCTGCCTGTGCCCAGTGTTGAAGTACACACCGCACCTATCCATCTATTTCCATAACGGATGCCATGGCTATTTCTTACAACCCCCACCCCTTTCCAAAAAAACCTAACCCCTTATACTGAATATCTACTACAACCACTACTATATCCCAGGGGCCCCAGACATCTCGACCTTCACGTCCCAGTACGATGTGACGTTAGTAGACTCCAGCGGCCACTACAACATCGCCGCGAATGTGCCTCTGTCCGCGTACGCAGAGTTGAAGTCCGAAGCTCGGGACAGCGTGCGTGTATTGGACTCGCACGCGCAGAGCGAAGACTTTGAGGCGCTGTTTATGAACCCCGCGGACTATCTGACCAGGTGGGTACTATGTGGCTGTAGATGTATTGTGCATGTGGCTGTGAATGTATTTGTGGGGTTTACGAGGGCGGGTTTTACTTGGTGTGTGGGAGAAGCATGCAGGTGTTTTATTATATCTTAGTATATGTGTGTATTACGTAACGATAAAAGTTAGACTATATATATATATTTTAATTTTATTCGATCTACACCTACATTATACTGCTCGTCACCAACAGATGCGACGGTTTTGTCCACGTGCGAGCTTTGGCGTCCTTGAATGCGGCCTTTTCATTGGACAACCGGACCAAGACTGACGTCATTGCCGACTGGGGCTACGGAACACCCGCGGCAGTGGTTGAGAAAATGTGTGCGCTGGTACGAAGGGGATTGGGTGATAGGGTGACCCAACTGCGCCTGAGATATGTTGAGGTAGGGGGTCTATGTATGTACGTGTGATATACCACATGTAGGTAATAGGCATATGTGTATATCTTGGGATAGATATGTATTTACAGATGTGTATGTTTGGGGCTGTGTTTATATGTGTGTATTGATGTATGTTCTTGGAAAGCATGTGGTACTAAGCACATCATTTCTAATACGTGAATATATATATATATATATATATATGTGTGTGTATGTATATATGTATGTAAGTATGTATGTATGTATGTATGTATGTATATATACATATATATATGTGTGTATATGTATATGTATATATATATAGATAGATAGATAGAT